ACCATCGTTTAGCGGTCGCCGCCGCTGCGGACACGGTACGCGCGTGCGCGCGAGTTTCGGCGCCGTCGCACTAGTGCCGCGTTACGTAACCCCCCCCCCCCTCCAATGGACGGGAACGAGATTTCTGGAATTCTTCGTCCGCGTGGCACCGCGGTATAAAAAACGGCCGACAACCGATCGTGCAACGAAGACGGGTAGGGACGAATGGGCGCACCCGCCGGTCGTGGCCGGGCAACTGGTCGCCAATTGAAATCCGGCCAAATCATCGGTTCGTCGCTTCTGGAACTGGTCGCGTAGAACGCGGTATTTAATGCTGCGTTGCGGGTACGCGCGGTCAGTGGCGCCGAACGGAATCGAAACCATCATCGGTTCGAACGATTAGATTTACCCACCCACCCCCATCCAAAATTTACCATCCGTTTAAGTAACTTTTTTTTTTTAATTATTAAAGATGTTATCGTAATATTTGATCATTAAATATACTGTTTTAAACGGAAAACACTTGTCGTCAAGTAATGTGTAAAAAAAATTAGTTTACATTTTTTTAACCATTATTTTATCATTTTTTTTTTTTTACGTTCCAATTTTCTTGACGGTTCGATTGAACTACCCGGATACCAAATACCGGCTACCACTGAGAATATAAATTTCAAATTCAATCGGTTAAAAACGTTTCCTCGTGCGCGGCGCAACGCCGCTGTTGTTATACCGTACATCAGTCATCAGGTATCAGTCGACGCCTATTCGGAAAACGCGTTGCACCGAACGTTGACACAGATAAGTGGGTATTTTACAATCATATCGTTACAGCCGTATTATGCGCCGGTGATAAATGGAAACGCTGGTTCGTTATTTAATTTTCACGTTTTCAGATAAGACATTTGTAAAGGTCCTGCGTTTTATTCCGATGCCTTTAGGTCAATTACTTAATTTCGCAAATGGTTATCGTTTGGTGTTCTCGTTTCCTACAACGGACGCCGCGGAAAATGATTGATGAAAACGCTGAAGATTTAATAAAACACAATATTCCAAACACGGCCGAGTCATGCCGACCGAAGTTTGGCAAAGCGTTTTAATATGGCTACAGTATACTGTTCGACGGTGAAAAAAAAATATAACGTTGTTAAACTCATCGCCGCTTCTGCACACCCTCTTCAAACGCTCCGATTGCGCATAACTTGTGTCGTTATTCTAACCGTCGTCGTTCACCCGGTTGTTATCCGCGCCATGTACGGATGGATCATTTTCTTCATGCGTACGAGTGTGCAAATTATCGGTTAACGCGTACCGTATCAATCGATACCGCGTCCCTGGGATACTTTTTAACATTATTTCCTTGCAAACG